CCCCCCCCCCCCCCCCCCCCCCCCACTGTGCCGTCAGACTTGCTATGGGGTAGAAGGATGATATGGCAGCCCCTCCCTGCTCGCGCCCAGCTCCGCGGGACCCCCGCTGAGAAGTCAGGAGTCTAAATGACACATTGAAATGAGGGCAAGGAGATGAAAATCTGTCAAATATCCCAGCTTGCACATGGCGTGACATTTCCAAACACTTATGGGAGATGGAAAGGTTATCTGACGCTGCCATGTCCTCCGCACCATCCCATCATTCCCCTGCCCTCTTTATCTCACCGGTGTCTCCGGGTCCAGCTCCCTCTGCTATGGACGATGAAGTTATAAGAATGGGGAGTCCCTTAATTAAGTGTTTTTGATTAAATTAACAAATAAAAGCCAAAACAAGCTGAATGACGGAGGTTGTGTTTTGGAGAACCAGGTCACTTTGAGTGATTAATTAGAATAGGCAGCCATTTTCATTACTCAGTAGAAGGAGAGCAGTGATTAAGTTGTGGCTCCGTTCATGGTCAGAGGCCACAGTTCCCCCCCCCCCCCAGCAGGCTGTGGGATAGCTGTCACTTTGCTTGTTGGAGGGCTGACCTTTACAACGCTCGGTTTGCCCTCCGACCTTCTACAGCAGGTACAGAAAGCGAGCTAATTATCCCACCGTGAGGCTGGAGGGGGGCTCCTAATCACGGGGGCTGATGCAGCAGGCATCAGATAAGCCCTGGACACATCTCCGTGTCACACCACCTCGCCCATTCAGCCCAGGTGTTAGATTGGCCCGATGTAACACTACCCCTCCAGTGATTAGCTCACATAAGCTAAGAGGCCCACAGGGGTGGCGGGTGTCACAGAGAGTCAGATTGTCCTGTTTTCATAAACATGGCTCATGTTGGCTAACTTGATCAGCGGCGTTGTGGGTGGCGCCGCTTTATTTCTGCCCTTTTAGACAATTGCTGTCTCTCTTACCAAGAGTAAAATGTTTCTGTGCTTTTCCACAGTGAAATTAGTCTTTTCTTCTTAGTTCCCTCTGCACTGATTTATTTCTCTCTTTCTCTTACACACACACACACACACACACACACACACACACACACACACACACACACACACTCCTGTTCTCTAACCCTCTTTAGTTTACTCTGGATTGGGGGACTTGTAGAAAAACAAACTTTACTGTCCTCTTTGGGAAACCAGGCTCTCGCTGCTCACGTTACTGCTTCAACTTTATTTTTTATTTTTTTGAATGTGATAGAATACCATACACAGTACACAGTCACAGGAGAAATGAAGGCAGTGCTGAGGCTGCACTGTTCTCAGGTCTGTGGGCCGACAGGGCTGTCACCACCCCACCTGACTTCATCTGAGGAGCTGGCTCACATGTGGTGGTTTCCACACGGTTTTCAGAGATTATTTCAGAGAAGTGATCCCGCTCCGTGACCAAGCTGCAGCAGAGAGGCTCGAAATGGAAGTGACTGTGGCTCTGTCTGCCAGTTTTGAACTATTTTGGTACCTGGAAGGTTTTGGCTTTCCTCAGAAACCGATGATTGAATTCGATCATCGGCTTTGCGTCAGCCTTCTGTTGTCTAATGCTCACGGTGTCCCCCTGCTTCCCCCTCCCTTCAGATCACCCAGTTGGAGCCAGGATCATCTCTGCTGGAGGCCAAGTTGTTTCCTCAGGAGACGCTCTTCCTGGAGGCTAGAGAGTAGGAGCTGGCCCTCCCACGCCCAGAGGACCCGCTGACTGACTGAACTGGCTGGACGCACACTAGTCACTGAGCATGGCCCCCTCCCCACAATCTGGGCCTACAGTACTCAACACACACACACACACACACACACCAACCTCTCAGACACACACACTCACACTGGCATGCACATCCAGTGACACGCGAGCGTAAACGAGCTTCTCCGCCGCCGGCCGGTGGCCGAACACCAACGCCCGGCGGAGCCAAGACAGTATCACAAGCACACAGCCAAACATCCACGTCCCCGTCCTCCGTCTCCCCCCCCTCCACCCCTCACACACTTCACCTTTCCAAACACACGAGTCCCGGTTCTCTCTCACCACACCACAGCAGAACAGCAGCAGCATCGAGAGACTGAGTGGACAAATCTTTGTCACAGGAAATAAAGAAATAAATAAAAGACAAAGACTTCTTCCCCCGTTTCCTCATTTAACACAGTGCTTTTTTCTTTTTTTTTTAGAGCATCATTTTTGTGTTTGATATAAAGGGAAAATGTAATTGACTTCAGCTGGAGACGTCCTTTGAAAGCTGGACGGTGTCCCTCCCTTCTGTGTTCGGCCCCCTTAACTTTGCCCAAAGTCTGTTTCTGTCCCGCCCCGTTAGTCCAGTTCAGGTCAGTCTCTGCTCCTCCTGATTCTAACACTCACTCCAACAAGCCAATAGATTACCAAGTTTTACTATTTTTTTTTTCCTCTTTTCAAGTTTGATGCTGTATTACTTTTAGTTTGATATACATTATATAAAATATATAAGAACATCCTTTTGTCTGGCCGGAAATCTGTTTAAACTTGTTGCAAACATGCATGTCCTGAATTTTCTATTCTATTCTTTTCTTCTTTTTTTGCCATAGGGAATCCTTTATTTGAGGAGTCATTGATAATTTATTTTTAACTTCCTATAAAGTCGATCACTTGTTGTATAAGGACCTTTAATTTGAGGGGAAATTTGACATAAAAGCAGACAGATTTGAAAGAGAATAAAACTGTTCTGATTCCTAAGAAATTGTATCAGTCATCATCAAATTCGTTTTGAGTTTAAAAAGACAGAATCTCCAATATAAAGTGTGATTCCAAATAGTAAATTCAGTCTGCTAAAGCTAACACAACCAGATCATGATGGTAGTCCCTCCTCCTAGTCCAGTTTCGCTTCTGAACCAAAGTTTAGATACGCTTAAGCACACCTTCCTTCCCACAGGCAGAACTTTAGCATATTTCTCTTAACAAGTGTTTTAATATCCTCCATCTCACGCCACCTGCTAATACCAGCCACACAATTTTGTGCCTCCAGCAAGCAGAGATCACACCGGCTTAGGTCTCCATCTGCGTCGGGGTAGCTCTGTCAGCCGAAGGCGTCGGGGATCAAGCCCATCGGAGGAGCCCCGCAAACACACTCCGCTCCCTCTCAGTAAACCCCCACACCTGCACTGGAACCACACAAAGTGCACCAACTTCCAGCTAACTCGTTTGTTTGTGCCGGTGTTCCCTCGGTAAAGAGTGGAACTTTAGGTAAAGTTTGTAGTTCCAGGTTGTTAACTTTGCTCATCTGAGATTCACAAGTTGACCATTTTGGCTTCTAGTTTAAAGAAAAACTAAACAAGCCTGTGGTAGTTTTGGAGCATTTTTAAACATCAACTTAAAGAACTACGATGGGAAACAGAATCTGACCTGAATTTGGTCAAAATAAAGACCGTTTTTTGCTTTTTTTCAGGTCGTCTGAGACTGCTGAAAGGCTCTGAATCTCCCTGTTTTTTTTAATATGTTTATGTGATTATGCTAAGCCACAGGAAATAGTCACATGGAGATCAAAATATCAATTGTCTTTATTATTTATTGCGTTATCAAACTTTTCTATTCCTTTAGGCGGCTATTCAAAAGGAGGTCTACATTGTTAACCTTAATCCTTTAGGACACTTCCTATCACGTTGAGTTTTTTCATTAAACTCTGAGGTTGTTATTGAATAACTCAAGCATCAAAACACTTTGAAAGGCCTCTCGCTGGAGGTAATTGAGCAGGATGTCTACATCCACAATCCCCCTGGAGTGTGAGTGTGCCTTCCTCGGTTTTCTGCGGCTGTCTGGTTTCTCACGCGAGGGCTGAGTGGGCCTGACGCTCCTACAGCCCAGAGCAGCCTACGCCGCCCCGGGCCGGGGGCAGAGTCTCAGAAGGAAGCACCGGGAAGCAGGACCTCCTGAATTCCACTTCTCCCCCTTTAGGATTCACGTCAGTATTTCTCAACGAATACAATCGCATGGACTGAGTTAGGTCAGTGGTGGAAACGACTGCTTCTGTTCAAACAAGTGATGAAAAAAGGCAAAACTTAGACTTAAATCGTGGCCCAGAGGGAGGATCACACACTTCCTTTTTTTCTTTCCAACACTTTTCCTCATGACATCCCAATTGTAATGATTTGATCAGACATCAATATCAATGGCAGCAGTTTAAAAATATATATTTTTTTGAATTTTTTTAGATGTTTCTGACACTGAATGCTCTGGTGGTGCAAAATGGGTTTCCCTTTTAAGGCTTTCTGCTTACATTTGTTCAGTTTCAGCTACAAAGTGGAGCAGAATCTTCCTTAAACATAATCAACAAGAGGTTTTGTTCTTGTTTGTTTGTCTTGTGTAGTTGGTCTCCTCTGTTAATTGCATCACAGACTCGGGTATCGTGAAAATGTTGTCCTCTCTTCTGGTCTTCTCATGTTTGTGTTAGGTTTTTACAGATTGCTAGATGCTTGTCTGGAAGAGCTCATGGGCCTGTAGACCTCATACCGGAGTCAGACTGGTCCTGGACTCCTGCCAGGGCTGAACTTTTCTGAGGCTTTACGGGCCAAAGGGAAATGTCTGCGGCTGACATTTGTGAGATTTGAGGTGGACGTGGAGTCGTGTGTGCGCCGGCTGCACAGACATGTGCGGCTCCAGGCGAGGGAGGGGTCAGAACAGGCGGGGGGGGGGGGTTGTTTCTGAGAGAGGCAGACAGGTGTAGGCTGCCCTGTCGGAGCCTGTTCCCGGGGAGCCGCGGACATACTGCCGCTCCTCTCAACTGTGAGATTCCAGATTCTGGATGAAATCTGCAGCAGCACGTTCATCGTGACGGCCATGGAGGCGGAAATGCCCGAGAGACATCAGGATGCTCTCCGTTTACACCTGACCAAACGTGTCATGGGTTGTTTTTCTGTGTCAGGACTCATCAGCTCTGACTATTGTGTCTGTCGTCAAGATAAAGTAACTTTTGATTGACTATGGCAAAATTGAGATTGATCTAAAATAGATGTATATTAAATGTAGATCATCTAAGTCCCCTCTCAGATGTTAAATTACATTTTTGAAGTATTCCTTTTCTTTTTGAAAGTCAAACTTTCAATTCCACCTGTAAGTTTATTTTCTTTTCTTAGTTGTTTATGTGGTAAATTGACAGGCTAGTAAAAGGATTTTAATGAGAAAATTATGAAACTAATCCCCCAGACCTACCGTTTTAAACTGTAAGCTGGAGTTCTCTCCATCTGGACGTTGGGTGGATGTCTTAATCAGGGCCTGTCCAGGCTGGGGGCCTTTAAATGGAACTGAGTGGTAATGAGCTCACTCTGCCGGCGTCCCCCCCCCCCACACAGCCACTGGTGGCTACATCAGGTTGCCGGCTCGATTCTTTCACGACAAAAGAGGAAAGCGTCCATGATGTTTAACCAGCCCCGCCGGGGTCAAGAATGCAGCCCACTGGCGAGGGAACAAAATTCCTCAGTTCCTCTCCTCCCTCCTTTTGAAGTGGGACCCACTGGGATCTCCCTGATCCACAGCCTCTCTGCCCACATCCCAGACTGGCCTAACCTGGAGGGTCACCCCAAGTTTACTTTCTCAGAGACGCGGGTTCTGCCCAAAGAAACAGAATCTATGCAGCTTAAACTGTTGGGTGGGCACAAAAGGAGGGTCATCCCTATCTCTCCGTCTCATTCTCTCCCCACTTCTGTTTGTCAGCGGCACAATGGACATGGAGAGCCTTTGATTTTTATCTTGAAGAAACAAAACACATTTTTTTTACCGCCATGTTACAAATCTGATTAGGCTGGGCTTTGAAAATGCTCTAAACGAATTAAAAGCTCAAACATTTAGGCCTGGATCTTTTGAACAATGCCCCGGCTTGTATGCTGTTTTCAAGGGAAGTTATTGTACTCCAAACCAAATCCATTTTACTCACAACTGTTGCCTGAAAATGAAAATAAAAACGTAATTATTTAATCAAATAATCAGGAAAAAAGGCGACATGTGTGTAAATAGATAACATGACTTTGATATTTTCCTTTTCTCAATTGGGTACATCTTTTTATTATCTGATAAAAGAAAAAAAAACAGCCATTATTATCCTTAAACGAAAGACCAATAACAAAAGAAGAATTGGCCAATCTTCTTCTTCTTCTCTGTCTTTTCTGTAGGCACAGGCCTTCAGTGTGGATCAACCTGAATGATTTAATACTTATTATCACTTAAACTTGTATTTCTCACTAGTCTTGAAAGTTACTTTAAATCATCATAAGATCTTTTTATGGAAGCATTAAATCCCTTATTAGTTTTAATCATATTTTTGTGCAGATGCACCTCAGTCTTATGTTAACAATGCTCACGTGACTATCATTTGATCAAATCAATAACTTAACTTTCAAAAATTACTTTTTGCTTATAAGATAAATGATCAAACTATTCCATTATGTCAGAAACGATTTTTTATGCCTGAATTTAAAAGAAATTGTTTATGTAAAGAGCAGGTATATTTTAATTTAAATCCATGACGCGTTAAAATCATGTGTTTGGGTTAATGAATTGATTAAGTGGGGGAAATTCTGTAACAGTAAAAGTCCCTGAACAGCTCTTATCAGTCAGGCTTGTTCGTTCAGATTCAATAAGGGAACAATTGAGGGAAAAAAAAGGAAAATAGATTGGCACTTGATTTATTGGCGCGTTATTTAGTTATTTTGTTAAAAACTGTCTGGTGGCAGCATCTCTCGGCCTCCGCCGGCTTGCAGTTTCCAGCCCTCTGGACGCAGAGGCCTCATAAAGCTGAGGCATTCGGATTACCAGCCGCCGGAATAAAGCAATAAATGGGCCGGGGGGGTCCTGAAAGGCTGCAGCGGCTGAAGGGGCGTAATTACAGCTTCATATTAATTGTGCTTTCTCCCCCCGTCTCTCTCTCACTCCCCCTGTGGACGCGCGCGCACACACACACACACACACACTCACACACACACGCATGGGTGACATCCAGGAAGGCCAAGTCTTTGTGCGGAACACTTCAAGTTTCAAAAACAAGGCCAATTGAAGCGGCGCGGCTCAAAGCCGGCGCCATTGTTGGCGAACACATTGAGTTTTGATTGGGGACAATGGTGTTTCTCAAATTTCTTGCAAAAAGAAAGCCATACTCCATCTGTGATCTCAATGAGCGCCTATTCATGGGCTTCCTTCTTTTCTGCGCCATTCGGTGGTGGAGAAAAGGAGGCAGATGTGGAGGGATAGAGCAGGGGAGAGCGCGTTTTAATTGGCTGCAGAGTGGAGGTCTGTCCCTGTCCTCCCTCTCTCTCTCTCTCTCTCTCTCTCTCTCTCTCTCACACACACACACACTCACACACACACTGGAGATATACGCCACTATGGTCCGCGCAGAAAGGAGGGCAAGAGAGACCAATAATCTCGCCGTGTTGATGAATACTTGTAGCCCATTCATTAAACAAAGATAATCCCTGCCAACCTACCTCGGGGGCACAAAAACGTATTTTCTGTTTGTGTCTAAGTGTTTGTGTGCGTCCGTGTGTGTGTGTGTGAGGGAGAGAGAGAGAGAGGGAGAGAGAGAGAGAGGCAGCCTGAGTCCCGGCCAACTGCTTTGGCAGACTGAGACCCTTCAAATCTTTGAAATATTCATACGCCACCGCGGGGTTATCCCCCATTTACAGATAAGTGTTATTCTAGCGGCTGCCCCCAGCTCCAGAGCCTTCAGCCCGGGTCCCCCGACTCCTGCAGCCGGCTGCACCTGGATTAAAAAAGTACTCTTTAAAACGATCGATTTCAAATAAAATGTCATATTTATCCTTTTTAGCCGTCGAGTTTTTTTTTAAATATTGGTTTTATTATGCTTCAAAATGAGTCTAATAAAAGCAAAGGTCGTCATAAAGTGTATCAGGTGTTTTTGGTACTTGAAAATGACTCTTTACCTTAAAATTGTGACTTAAATATGTGGAAAAACCAGCTGCTTAATCGTTGGTAGTCAGTGATAGCGTCTTTGTAAGCAGCAATTATAGAAAAAAAAACTATTTCAGGCTATTAAAAAATAATAATTGGACAGGAATATTGCCTAATCGATCCCATGCTGCTCGTATTTGTGATTTGCTCCCAGACTCCAGACCGGTGCGCAGGCCCCCTCTCCCCCGGCTATCCTTCGGAGGAATGCGCTCCTCTGGATCCGGGTCCCGGCGCGGCGGCGCGGGTGTGAAGCGGCGGGTTAGCGGCCTCCTGTCTGGGGGCCCGGGCCCCGCGCGCCCGTCAAGCGTGTAAATACTTGAGTGGAACCCCCCCCCTCCACCCACCCCCCCACCGCGACTCTTTTCTCCGCTGCCCCCTTGTCTAACTGCTACTCTAACCTCTGGCTCTGCGGGACGGAGGCCTGCTGCGGCAGCGGGAGAGCGTGGGAGGGGACCCGGGCCCGGGCGGGCCCCGGGCGGGACGCAGGCCGGGGCGGGCCCCGGGAGGGCCCCGGAGCCCCGGAGGGTCCCGGGCGGCGGCGGGACAGGCCGCTCCAAAGCCTTGCCGGGGTGCGGGGCCAGCGGAAACATGCTGCTACATATGTTGGGTCAAGCATGGTCTTTGTTGTGATCTTAGAGGGTGTTGGAACCCCACTCCTCTGCGGCTCTGCCTGAAAGAAATGAAAGCATCGAGGAGGTTTTTTTTTTTTCATGCATAGGCCTAATGAAGTGGTTAAAGAATGTCGGGTTTTTCTAAGTGCTCACAGTCACTGTTAATTGCGCGGGGGGCATTTTTAATTGGACCAGGAGGAATAATGGCGAACTTAATCCCCATCGAAATGCATATTTGGTTCAGAAATGAACTTTCCGTTCCGTCCGGCTCACAAAGCCGGTCATTTAACCAGAGGTGTGAAGTGGACACTCTTTTTTCCCCCTAAAGGAGCCTCAAATGAAGTCTGCGGATTGATAGAATTAAATAAACAAGCGCATCATGTGGAAGAAACTGGAGAATGGATTTGAAATTGCGCGCTTTGATAAACGGTTTGGAGATGTTTCTCTTTCTCTTTATAATTCGTTTAATCAAAATGAGAAGAGCATGGTTTTACTTCTAAATCTAATCCTCAGTTGAAAGTCTGATCTGTCTTCTTTTCCACTCCACGCCTCAGATGTTTGCAGCCATCAGGACAACGGGCTACTTTCCTGCGCGCGAGGGCGTCTCCGCCGCTGATAATTAGTTTGAATGTCAAAAAGATGTAGTTTTAATATCGTCTCTATTAGCCTAGTGGCTAAGGTAATTAAGGTGCAGATGACAGCAGCCAGGGAAACAGATGGCATTTGCTTACAGTGATTCAGAGAGTAAACAATGAGCCTGGGAGGGGAGAGGCAGGGCCGCACGCGCCCGCTGCGGCGGCGGCGCGCGCGCGCCAGCCTCATCCTCCAAGGTGCTGCTGACAATTGTTGATTAAAGAAAACATCTCTAACTTTTTAATCTGGACTCCGGGAGCTGCATGAATGATCTCCCGGCAGAGCAGGTGAGGGACAGGTGGCTCGTGCGCGTTGGCCTTTGGTGGCGCGCTCACTGCGCGTGACAGCATCAGCGCCTGTTTGTTCATAAGAGAGAGGACACGCAGAGTCCTGATTTTTATGTAGATGAGTGGAAAATATTGTTTGGACTATTTTCCACTCGCCTTTTTCCCTGTAATTATTATTATTATTTTTTTTTACAAAAAATATAACTCACTAAAACACTAAAAAAACAACAACTACAGAATGAATAGTGAACATGGAGCCAATGAAAGAAATATATTTTTTAGTATGAATTTACCATCCATTATTAATACACATAATTAATCACACCAATACATTATTATTTCTATGATATTATTGGTTATCAAATTCATTCTAATATTTATATTGATTTTAATCATATGACATTCAGAATTATAACTATTACAGATTGATACAATTCATATTTACAAGAGTTTTATTTTTAAACAAATGCAATAAATACCTTTTTGGTGTTCAAGAAAAAAAAACATGTGGCGCATGTGGAGTAAAATGGATACCGCCAAATAAAAAAAACTGAGGAATATCGAAAACCTATTTTTTAACAGGTTCACGTGCAACAATAATAATTTCTGACAGCAGATTTTAACGATCACAATTTCAAAAATAGATAACTGAGTTAAGATGGACCAGTTTGATCATTTAACAAAACGAGCAGAACGACAGGTGTAAAGTCTGAAGCAGAAGTAAGAAAAAAAGATAAAAAAATTAAGGTGAAAAATCCGATGTGCACATTAAAAAACGAATCATTTAGAAATTATTTAACTTAATACAAGATGAAAAAAAACAGAATGGGGGGGTAACTCCTTCGGAACGGGGGGGGTCCTTTCATTTTTTTTATTATAAAGCTAAACAAATACATGTTGATAACGTAATTATAGCAGATAAATGTTTCCCCTCTTAAACTTAAACAGGAATCTTTATATATTTTATATGAGGTTGTCCCAGAATCCGAACCCCATCAGATTTTTTTTTCCTAGCACGAACCTTGAAATAATCACGACTTTCGATGCAAATGGTATAATATCTGTTTTTCCTCCTAGCTACATAAATAACTTATTTAATCCAGCAAAAGAAAGTATCCTTACCTTAAATAAGATCCCAGACCGGCCTCACCTCTGACAGCTGTCCCGGAGTCTCCCAAATGTTACCAAACACTTCTGCAGAAATAAACACAACAAAGAATTTCTGGACACGGATGGAGAATTTCCATCCCTCTTTGGATGCTCATATCTGATTGTGCGTGACATGCCTCACAGAGGCGCCTGTCGGGCACCGTGCACGCGCGGCGGAGGGACATATGTTCTTCTTTAAAATCTATAAAACTCATTTTTCGAAAATATACACTGCATCGATTTGAGCTTTTCCGGGAACTCCCTTCAGATTCTTAACACTTGATGTTTGGAAAAAAAAGAACTCAGGTGGACACAGTTGAAAAAAAAGAGGCAAGCCAATCAGATCGCTCCTTCTCCCTTTGGCCAATGACAGGCGCCACATTGTTGTCAAATTTGTCTAATGAAAACGTAGGAGCAACAATAGAGAGAGAAGACAGGGCTCTGTATCCACTGACGATCTCTGGAGGAAGTTAGTGTCTCAGGCTGCTGCTCCCGGACACTTTTTAACTTTAAACCGAGGAGGAACGATCTCTTTTATTGGCTCCGGCTGCTTTCGGATTTAAACTCGTCTGTTTGTAGTCAGACTTTCTCCTTCTTTGGGAGCAACACTCGGACACTTTCCATCAGAGTTTTTGCTCTGCTGGTGAAAAGTCTCCACCTGTTGCCTGGGATGCTGAGAGCCGCGGAGCAGATGTGACCAGCCCCGCGTCCCTGCAGCCAACACACGCACCCGCGCGCCCCCAGCCCTCCACAGCCTTCTAGTTTCGTCTCACAGGTGCGGAACGCGCTCATGGATCTGAGACCGGAGCTCCCCGCGGCCTCCACGGCCTCGCAGGTGCACGCGGCCGCGGCCGCCTCCATCCCGGTGTCCATGGCCGGGGGCCTCCTGCGCGGGCCGCCGCTGCTGCTGCGCGCCGCCGACAAGTACCCGCGCACGCCCAAGTGCGCGCGCTGCCGCAACCACGGCGTGGTGTCCGCGCTCAAGGGCCACAAGCGCTACTGCCGCTGGAAGGACTGCATGTGCGCCAAGTGCACGCTGATCGCGGAGCGGCAGCGCGTGATGGCGGCGCAGGTGGCGCTGCGCCGCCAGCAGGCGCAGGAGGAGAACGAGGCGCGCGAGCTGCAGCTGCTCTACGGCACGGCCGAGGGGCTCGCGCTGGCCGCCGCCAACGGCATCATCCCGCCCAGGCCCAACTACGAGGTGTTCGGCTCCGTGAGCGGCGACGGCGGCTCAGGTGAGAGGCCGCGCGCGGAGGAGCGCGTGGAGGAGCGCGTGAACGTGAACCTGCCTCTCTGGGATGTTCACATGTTGATTTGGATGAAGTTGGCGCAGCTGTAAATCGGCCATCTAACATCAGAGTTATTCTAATGATCGTTAATTTGATGAGGCCCGTTAGAGGATTTAGGGATTTATTGTTGTTGAATGATTTCATAGTTAGTGTTTTTTCCCCTTCGGCTTTGCTGTGCCGCACTGTTACGTCGACTATTCGGTTTTCAGTCTCTAAAAGCTGCTGTTTTTCTCTCGACAGATTCAAACATCCAGAAGTACGATCTGTTCCCAAAGAGCCAGATGTCCGGCTCCACCCCCCCGCAGCAGGCCGTGGGGAAGCCGGCCTCCGCGGAGGGCGACTCGGCCCCGGGCGTCTCCTCCCCGGACGGCCGGCACGGGGGGGGCGGCTCGGGCTCCGAGAACGGAGACAGCGAGTCGTTCATCGGCTCCCCGGTGTCGAAGCCCCCGAAGGACGGCGGGGACACGCCCGGGTCGGTCAGCTCTCTGGGCTCGGACTCCGGCTCGGAGACGGACAAGGACGAGCAGGAGCCGTCCCCGTCCTCCGCGGCCTCGCGCCACATGAACGCCATCGACATCCTCACGCGCGTGTTCCCCAGCCACAAGCGCAGCGTGCTGGAGCTCGTGCTGCAGGGCTGCGGCAAGGACGTGGTGCAGGCCATCGAGCAGATCCTCAACCACGGCGGCGCGCAGGGCGGCCCGCGACCGGGCCAGGAGGAGGCCTGGGCGGCGGAGCGGGGGCTCCAGGGCGCGCAGCAGCCCCCCCCGGCCGCCGCCGCCTCCGCGGCCGCCGCCAGGCCGCTGCTGCCCGGGGCCATGACGCTGAGCAACCGCTCCGCCTTCTCCCCGCTCCAGCCCAACGCGCCGCACTTCGGCGCGGAGCCCGGCGCCTACCCGCTGGGCACGCACCTGGGACTCAACCCGCTGCGGCTGGCCTACTCCGCGCACAGCCGGGGCCTGGCCTTCATGACGCCCTACTCCACCACCGGCCTCATGCCCACGCTGGGCTTCCGGCCGCCGATGGACTACGCCTTCAGCGACCTGATCAGAGACCGGACAATGCTGCACAAGGAGCAGGGCTACGCCGGAGGCCTGTACGGGCCTCTGGTCAACAACACGCCGGACAAACAGTGAGGCCCGGCCACGGACGCGCGCTCCGCCGGACCCGCGGCTCCAGGGGTGGAAAAACGTGCACTGCACTCCGCTGTACATAATAGGATTATCTGGCGTGTATATGGTCCGACAGGGAGAAAAAAATACAAACTAAACTGACTCGTGTGTAACGCAAACAAATCTTTTATGTTAGATTGAAAAAGTTTGAATTGATTTCCCCTTTTGTGAACATCATTTTGCCACCAATAAGGTGATGGAAAACCCCAAATAGGCTGTCATGATTTCTAAATTAATCACGATCAAACTGGGAAATAATAAAAAATTCAAATAAAATAAAATCGCTTTATACATGTCTTTATTGTGATTTATTTTCTCTGTAAAAAACGGCTCGAAAAAAAGTGTTGGAGGGTTGTAACTTTTCATGAATCCTTCCGTTTTTACAGCTGGATGGTAAAACTGACATGTGGTGAAAAATGGGGTAATCAAACAGAGCAAATTAAGTTATTAAAACACCTAGCTTCATTTAAACTAATGATGTGCATTTAATTAATTTCTACTCATGTATCACCTCACTTATCTGACTTTTTTATTCTTATTATTTTAGTTTGTTTCCATCTGCTTGTATTATAAATATCGCATTTGGTAATCTAAACTGCTATGCTTTTGACTTCTCCTTTGTCCGTTATTAGTCTGCAAATATTTGTGGCAAAGTGCTGGACCAAGTCAGTTCTTCTTCAGATGTTGCAAGCTGTGCTGTTCCATTGTATGAATATGCTGGAAATAAATGTTATTTAAAAAAACAAGGATATGAATTATTCTTTTTTTATTTTAAGGGAAAAAAGCCTTTCAATTCAGGAACCAAAAGGCCATTAACTTCTATATTAATTGGATAGGACAGATTTTGAAGCTGGATTATTCTTTAAATACAATCAAATCATAAATATTGGCACAACGAGCTTTTGTTCTGCTTAAAAACGCGCGTGTGGAACCAGGATGACGCATTCAGCAGCATAGTTCACATTTCTGGTTTAGCTTGAAAAAGCTTCCATTAAAGAAACGTTTTTTCCCTTAGGCGGAGTTTAAAAAAAATTAATTTTCGTCTCACTACGATTAAAAAGTATAATTTAAAGAACATTGATGATCCGTTCATTGAGAACGAAGGAGGCTTATAATGTGTGTGCTCTCATTTAACACCAAAAACTAAAAAACGTCTGACGTCAAAAGATCTTTACTGATAATAAGTAATAAAAAAAGCATTTTAAATAATAACTACAAGAACTTAACTAACAAATTAGGCAACATTATTGAAAAATGAGCCGCAAGGCCTATGTTCAATATACTGAAACAGAAAAACACACATTTGATGGTTCCTGTAACAATTAAAATAAGATAATTTCACGTATTGTGAACTTGTATAAGAATCTGTAACACTCTTAAAAAAACTTGGTAGGTATTCTAAGACCATCCCTCTGATAAACTTTAAATTTCAGGTGTCGTTATTTAAAAGAAAAAAAACCCAATTTGAATCAGACAGGCCTGTGTGGATGTGGGAGGGATGGCGCCCCCCCCCACCTCAAGTCTCCAGCAGGCTGAGGGTTCCTGCAGAGCTGTGGCGCCACCTCCTGGCCACCGTGCGTCATCACGCTCAGACGCAGGTGCAGGCAGGGCTCTTTCAGGTGCATTAGGCTGTTATTGTGGCGGAGGTGGCTGGATGTCAGTATCTTTGAGACAGATAAAAGTCAAATGAGCCATATTTTGATCATTACTGAGCATCATGCAAAATTCCAGTCTCTCTGTTGTTATTCTGTTATTAATACACCCCTAAAAACAGTCACAGTGACCCAGTCTGAGCAAGAGGAATAACGAGTGACCCCTTCAAAAGATATAACACATTTATTGGAAATATAAGTTATGATATATAGCCCATATTTACTAAAAACTTGAGCAAATCTTTGATTAAAAAAAACAAAAGTAACCTGGTTTATGTCAAAGTTCAGTCTGGGAATTGATGTGAAACCCTTTAAATTCTTTTTTGGCTGCAGGTAGCAGCATCATTTGTCCTCTCAGGTAGATTCCATCTGTTCAGATTGGAATGTTTAATAAAACACGGAGCATGAAATGATCCCACAATTCTGTCAAACACAATTTATCAACTTTGAAATATATCCTCTCACATTGTACGTTGATTCTGAGCTTACACAAAAAAAAATGAAAATAATATCAAATTTATTCATAAAAGCAGCAGGAATTTTGAATTATTTTGACTCTAGTTTGGATTAGTGGGACATATGTTGACTTGTTATTATATGTCAAAGTCAATATCCAAACATTTGCAACACTTTTTAATGTGGGAAAAATGAACAGTGTGGAATCATCAATGTCTTTTTCAGTTAAATATTTGGATGAAAACCAACCTTTGAAATGGGTCAGATTTGATGGAAGACAGCAGGGGGGGGGGGGGTGAGAGATCCGCACTCTGGTGTGTGACCCAGATGGCACCACTAGATGGTTGTCTTGTCTAAGAAATTATGCCAGCAGCGCCTCAAAATATTGTTCAGGAGAGGCTTCAAAAGCTCCATCTGCAGGTAACAACGGCACATTGTCTTTATAAAGCATGTTTTACATTCGTAAAAGCCATCACATTTACCACGCTGCCATGAATAAGAAAATATATTGCATAAAAAAATCACCAATATCTAATTCATTCACAGGTTTTTTGTCTTCTGTGCTGCATTTTTTAAATACAGAGATATCTAAAAATCATATACATATTGTTCCAGTCTTCAGCCTCATTGCGCCCCACGCTGGACACCTGTGAGTGGTGCCTTTCTGTCCATAACACCCTCCCTACCAGGTTATCATACTTTATTTATGGTCACTTGGACTCATAAGTCATAGGTTTGTTGGCAATTTTTCCGTGATGCTCTACATCTAAAAGACAGAAAATGACCTCAGATGCTAAAAATCCAAGGTTCCAGTGAGAGGAAATCCATTTTTAAACTGAGGTGGTCAGTTTTAGAGTTATGGAAAGCAACAGCATGCAGCATAAGCACGTCGAGGATTGCTTGTTTGCAACAATGAATGTGCGACAATATTTTCCATGCTTCTTTTTCGGTCTTCACTAATGAATAATTAGACAAAAGCGGATAAATAGCCACAGGCCTCCGCAGCGGCTCAGAGGGATGGGGAGAGAAAGGAATTCATTTAGGTTATTACTCCATACATAAAACCCATTTTCATTTCCACAGAAGCTGTTTAGCTTACTGTCGAGGGGTGGGGGGGTGGGATGGGGGGGGGGGAGATAACGGTAAAATGAACCAACACCGAGGCAAAAGCAATCGTGCATATTGTGGACTGAATTTAGTGTCTTGACGCAAACAGCTCAGTAAACTCGCATTAAAATAGATAAACAAATTTGCAATTAAAGCTGTTTTGCTAAACAATTCACACCAATGTTTTAGAACTCTGCAGCTGTTTCATCATCGAGCTGCTGGAAATTCGGGGAAGGACTCAGCTATAAAAACTTCCACGTGCCAGTAGACTAATGCCCACTGTGCATGTTACACTAAAAGGCACGAGTGTTACTCCACACTGGATGGACACACGCACTCATAAGTCTCATCACATCTACATTATTTTATGTTAGTATCTAAAAAGATAGTCTTATGTTCAACCCCTCTAGTTTGGCCCTTACACCATTCCCTTTTGTGAGATGAAGGTGGAGGAGTGAAAACAGCCCACAGTTGGTGAAGTAACTGTCCTAATTAGCTTTTCCTGTTGGCTGTACACAACATATGAATATGCTTTCAATGAATTGCCATCTGTAGCATAATCATTAATAAACACACATACACACATTCTTACTGCGGCAATCCCACAAATGATTGTATTAAATAAAACACTAATCTCTTAAAACCTCACTTAAAACATGCAAAGTATACCAGCATTCAGGTTACAATAACCAGATCTGGTAAACCAACTTAACTAAACTATCTATCCTTAACTTTTTCCCAGAGGGGCTCCCCTGTCACCCATTATTATTTTACTTGAACCCTTTTGTGGGGTGGTCCCAGTCCTGTAATTGACCCTTTTACAGGAAAATACAGCACTACTTTTGTAACTTTAATTTTCGTTAACATAGCTTTATCCTAAAATTCGTGCTGACAGGGAAAGTGGAGAGCACGGATGCAGAGGGTGCTGCGTGCACGGGGTTTGTTAGGAGCTTATGGAGACTTTGAATGAGTTTTAGAGTAAATGGACGACAAGCTGTGCAGACCCAGCGTGAACTCTGTTAATCTCCTCCAGAGCAGAGTGTCGGTTACACTGTTGGGTCAGATAAGGTGCTGAAGTGTGACTGCGCATGAGTCCGAGCATGGAGTTTGCATGTGGTGTGAGTGTCCGTTTCCATTGGTTACGTTTACGTATAAGTGTGTCTTCCATGTAAACTGGGCGATAAACATATTAAAAACTTGAAAACACATTTGAACATGGCTGACTTTCCATCCCTCCTGAGGCAAAAACATTAGTTTCCAAAGATTATCCAAAGCAGGTGAAATTTACCTCACCCATTTGAACAACGTGATGATGAAACTCAGATACTTTCAAACGGGAACTTAATCTGAAGCGCATCCAGCCTGTCTACTGCAGATTATGAATTTGTCTTTTTAAGTGCTCTCAAGAGATTCTTTACACTAAGCCAAGGACATCAGAACGACTGCACATGCTTTCAGAAGAACTGAACCAGTAGTTTGGCAGAACTTCTCATGTACAGTGCTGATGAAATGGGTGGTCCTTAGTTCTATGTCCTGTAAAGTTGACACAACAGTGTGGAAATAGATGTGCGTTCTAATCCAATAGAAACTGCTTAACATATAGTATGGACGTGGTATTTTGTATTCAGCAATTTATCCGCGGTTTATTCATTACTACAATTCAATCAGCTGTACCTTCAGTACCTATATGGGACTTCAGGCACATTAAAAAAACATTTGCGGGCAGGCCTGTTGACCGGCTGGTCGCTC